AAAAAGAAAATAATAAAAAGAAGTGAATGGTAATCAATAAAGCACTCATTAAACCGCCCCTCTCCCTCTTAACATGCTTTCCCCCAGACCACAAAAGCGGACGGACAGTCATACATTCCCCAAAACATTCGTTCATTTCATTCACATGACTTCTTTCAACGGAATAGACTTCTGTCTCCTTACCTCTCTCGACCGCTCCTTGAGCAGATAAAACAGCGCATACAGCGCTGCCATGATCGCCACAACCACCAGATATGTGATAACCCATCCCCTACTCGCGTTCGCTAGCTCGGGGCCCAGCCCGATGCCGCCGTTGACGATGCCGAGGATGATGACGATGCGGCCGAACCAGATGTGCGCATACGACCAGGCGGAGCGCGTGCCCGTGATGAGGAACTGGCGGTGGTGCATCTGGCCGAGCACGCCCTGCAGCGGCAGCAGGCACACGATGATGATGCCCATCACTTGGTGGTAGGAGCGCCATTGCTGTTTTGCGATTAGTTACTTGCGAAAATACACTTTTCCAATTGTGGCTGGTTGGGTAAATGTATGGGTAGAAGGTTAAATGATATATGCGGAATAGGAAGGTGGGTAGGGGAAATTGAGATTAGAAAAGAGGGTATATAATTTTTTGATATCAATTGGACCAAGGATAATTGGAGGTTCGGGAACCATCTAGGGGTAATGATAATGATATATATTAGGCTCACAGGGAGACCTACCGTTCCAGTCATACTGCTCCTCCACACACCCATGGTCATGCCGATGAACGCCAATATCAGATTAAAGATCTGCACGCCGCGATGCAGCGCCAGGGCGTTCGGGACCCGATTGTTCAGCAGCCGGATGAGCGCCGCACCGAACGGGAAGAGTAACACGAATGTGACACCCATTATGACACCTAAGAAGCAGCACCAGCACAATATAAGAATCTGTCTGTCTCTCTCTCTGCATGCATGCACAACGCAAAAGAATATAGCTAAGAACGAATAAAAGAAGAGAAAAATAAAGTTATACAGGGCCCACCCATCATGCCCCAGGCATGCAGCGGCAATAAAACAGACGTGACAAGAAACAAGTATTTCCAATGCGGCGTAGCTGTTGATGGCTGCCCTGCAGTGTTTCCGCCGGGGTATTTGTGTATGTGTGTGTGAGTATCAGGGGGTATATATATGAATCGGAACTCGCAAGGGTTGCCAAAAGAGTGTAATATATATAATCGAATCGCTGCTTCTTGCTCTTTTTGCTGTCGCCTGGGGTTGTGATTTTTCACACTACATAAAATGACAAAAAGTAAACGCCGCAAGGCTCAATACCATACCATGTGCAATCAATACCCTATCCGCCTTTGTCCTCGGCGCCGCGATCGAGCTCCCAGTCGACACTATCGAGTCGTTGCTCGTAAACGGGTTCGTATCGTTCCCACCAGTCGCCGCGACCATGTTGAGAGTGTAGAAACCATATAGCCTGTGCTGGTGGATTGTCGCAGATTTATCTGTAGTTGCGACTTGTTCGTTGTTGCCCACGGACCACAGTAAGTTCTGAGCGGTGCTGTTGACATCAAGTGATCCACCATTCCATTCCCGACAGTTGGCACCTACAATGCTGTAGTTAGAAGCTGCTCAGAGGGCAAAGCTGGGTCGGGTTGAGATTTACATCTGATATTGGCGGTCATGATACCGTTTGCGACACCGCTCCCGTCCAGCAGCTCGTACTGGATCGATTCCTCAAACTCGGGCTCGAATTCACCACTATAAATTTCACCATATCAGATCGACGTCGTTCCTCTTCCCTCCCCCATCAAAAAATAGGGAATTCAATCCGTACAGTCCAAGTCGCGCCGAAGCCGTAACTCCTCCGTTCCCGTCCGAGTAGATGACAAACATCAATGCGCCCTTCATCCCCGTGCCAATTCCCGTCCCAACCCAGCCAGCGGATGCGGGTCCGTTGAGTTGGATGAATGTGTCATTGCCGGACGCGGGGATGTTGAAACTCGCCGAGTAGCCGGCGGCTGATCGGTTTATAAATGTTGATATTTGGGCATTGCTCACAGTGGCTATATTTATTTGAAAGAAATGTATATATAAGTTGTCTTGTTCTTTGATTGTTTGAGGGAGATCAAAAGTTGGTGGGTGGTACACACCAAGTGCCAATACTGATGAAAGAGCCTTTATCGTGGATCTGAACGAAACCATTTTTATGTATAGATTTCGATTTTTTTTTTAATTCCTGCCGGTGTTTGTCGACTCGCGCTTACCGGGGGTATTTAAAACCTAGGGAAGTAGTGGTAGTGGCAGTAGGTAGTGAATATTAAAGAATGTCGAAATATGCTTGGTTGCTTCTGTTGTTGAACACCACCTGCACTCTCACGGCGAAGAGAGGGACTGGGCAGCTAGCTGGATGTACGAACAAGAGAAGAAGGGGAGCAGAAAATGCCAGAAACAAAAAAAAAGTGCGGATTCACTTGAACTTGTACCGGTAGGGGGGTGGAGGGATAAGGCAAAAAAGTTCGCCCAAGGTGTAGGTAAAGTATGCATACTGTACTCTACTCTACTAAGATTCGGCTGGATTCATAATATCCTCCAATAAGCGGCCACCATCTCTCTAAATTCCCCCACTGGCTGAGACATTGTTCTACATTTTACTCTACGCTCCCCTACACTAGCTCTGGCAGCGTCCCTAAAACATAGTCAGCACGGGGCAGCGCCGCAGCACTGGTAAAGCCTATCCCAGCCCCCACGACTGATTTGCCAAAAAAGAAATTTTGGACTTGAATAGCTTCTCCGTTTAAGCTAGGTCGGTTTCCTTTTTTGACGGGAGAAGCGAACGGGATGTCGCGCTGGCTGCCCTGCGAGATGTGCTGTAGCAATAGAGTACATATTTCGAGGTAGTTATAGATATGTATATATGTATGTAGTATTGGCCGTGATGATGATGATGATGATGATGATGATGAATTCGGTATGTATGTATTGTTGCCCTGAAGAATGTCATATCCCTAATCACAAATCACATGGCATATGCCTACAAGCTACGTAGACACCGGGGGGGAGTACTTCTGACAAAGCCTAGGCCGGAAGATAGGCAATTGATATTCGGAATATTACGTCCCATACCCATAGATACTCCAGATACCTACATGTAGCTACATTCTATTCCCAGCTGATATTCCCCAGCTGAGGAGTGTAGCACGTTAGAGTAACATGTAGGGGCGCTTCCAAGTTCACAAAAAAAAAAAAAAAAGTAGGGGGGGCTGAGTCCTTCGTTGTTTTGTCGGTTGCGGTCCATTTTGGCTTTTGGGTGACCTGGGGCCCTGAGAGGGTGTGTGGACCAGCCGAAACAGTCCTTGCCTCTTCCGGGGTAGCACTGTTCTCAGGCGAAATGCTTGTTCGAGCTAAGCTAGCGGGCCCTGCTGATGTCTCTTTTTTTACCCAGGGTCTGCATCTAGCTTTTGTGTCTACATGTAGCCCTAGGGCCAATCGCTAAATAATAGATTTAAAACAAGGCCGTGGTATGCAAGCTTGTTTCTGGGTACATGTAATATTCAATACCTCAACCTCACGACTCGTACGCTAGCATTCCCTTCAGAATTCCAACTGCAGCAATACATGTACCGACATTCGTCCACAAACAACTGCTGATGTTGGGAAAGAGAGCATAAGTGCTGAACGGGGTTGTCTCTAATCCGTTTCAATGCCACCACCTCCACCACCATTACCACATCGCTCCATGCAATCCCTGGTTTGCTGCGCTGCACTTGGCTGGCAGCCACCGCCATTGGGTTCTGCACCACGGAATGCCCTTGGGACCTCAGACTTCACTAAACGAGCAAATAGGAAAAAGGAGCGTTTTACTGGCTACCGAAAACCGAGAATCAGTGCCTGCATGAGTAGTTTCATAACACGTTGGCCCAGGTGCGACGACGACGACGTCGACTCCGCGGTCAATCGAGCTGATAAGCTGGGCTAGCCGGCACCTATCTGTTTACCTGGCCACTATGTAAAACCCCCCAGGCACGAATAACGGCCACTAGGCTCCCGCAACATCTCATGTCTAGATATCATCACCAATGGTGTGCACATGGTGATGATTGATAGATAGACTGGGACGGCCTGTCCAACGATGGGTCGCCGTCAGATATAAGCCTTTCTGGAAACAGGACTCGTCATCAACGGCTAATCATCCGTTCTTCTATCAAATTCTACAGACCGAAAAATGTCCCCATGTAACTACAACGCACTGCCCGCAGCTTTTGTCCATACAGGAAATTCATCAGAGGAGAGGAATCTCAAGAAAAAGAATGAAAAGGACAAAGAAAAAGAAGAAAAAGAAGAAAAATTTCGCATGTAGACCCCTCTATTGAAAGCCTCGCCAACCCCCAACCCTGTATACTCGGATAGTGAAAGATACTAAAGAAATTTTCCATACTCATGTCCTTCATTTCTAGTAGCGACTACACACTAAAGAATCATTTTACCTTTTTATGGCCCACCCTCGCAATTTCTGTACAGTCGTTACAGGCATTGATACAGAGAGGTGACTTAAAAATCTAATCATAGTCAGTCTCGGGTCTTTTTCTTAGAGGAGATTGATAGGAATATACAAAAGTCAAAGAAGACTCGATCTTCTTTCAGTTTCGGGAGTCTCTCCTGATCTCGTGCCTGTTGGTATGCCTCCGTGAACTTAGAATGATCATTTACATCCTCATCGCAATCCCGGAACGACATAGGTTCGATACGGCAACGCTCTAATGAATGGAAATTGGAGTCTTTCCAGAAGTCCCCACAGATACGATAAGGTTTCCAGCAGAGATACGAAACGTTAGTACAACATTTGCGGATTGTGCTACAGAGATGCGATCTCGTATGCGACATTTCATCTGCCGTGGAATTTCCAAAAGGATCAACCCAAACAAAGTAGATAAGACGAGTGATCCGACCTGGGTCAGGCAACTTTTCGATTGCACGCGCAAGCCCTGTCAAACTGTTAATGATGTACAATCATGAATATGTTTTGAAACCCGAAAGACTACCTCCAGAAGTAACTAATTTGCAATCCACAATCACAAGGGTCGTCAAGTTTTTAAGCTTCGGGCAAAGAGCTGCCAGACTCCTATCAGAAATTTCCGGACATCGCTCCATCGTAAGCGCCTTCAAAATGATTTCGTTGCCACCTTTTAACTGGAAGATCTTTGAATTTTTGAGGTTATTGAAGTTTGTTGCAGCGTTCTCCTGACAATGAAAAATCCTGAAATTCTCCAGGTTTGGATAGTTTCTCGACAAATTGATCCAAATATTATGGGCCACAATGCCCTTGCTCTTGTCATCCTTGATTTGAATTTCTCTCATCATTGGAAATTTCTCGAAAACCAGGTTAAATCCCATGATAGCACCATGCATGTTCACCGATAGTACTTGAAGTTGGGGGCAGCTCTGCATCATCCTGGTAAATAGTTGTGCCAAATCACTGACTTTTGGCATCTCCGCTAACTGCTTTGAAGGACTTCTGTCATGGGCCATATATGATGCCCCACCATGTATGTTTACTTTGATGGCGCGGACCATATTACCCAATTCCTCGTCTTCGCTGATTGTCCGGACAAACCGCTCAAAACTAGGAAGTTTGTTCAGATTGACATACTTACAGACAATCTGTTGGCCTAGATGACGCCAATAGTGGCAGGAACGGAGAACTGCCCTCAGACGTCGATACCTTGTTGTGGTAAAGCTGGTATCAAATTTGAAGCTATTTCCAATGTGGACATTTTTCGTTTCCATTTGGTCCTCCGGCATGAGGCCGTCGGCGAGATAGCTGAAAATCGTCGTCAAAGTGTCTTCGGACAATTTTCTAATGCCGGTGACTGCTCCATCAGAGTAACGTCCAATATGGCTCCTGTCAGCTCTAACCATTACTGATTTTGGTCCATCGAATTTCGGCGCTTCGAGGGGCTCGTCTGGTACCGACTCTGCTCTTTCAACGTTTCCATTCAAAGCAACTCCTTCCTTGGGGGTTTTCTTTTTTCCCTCTTTTTTGGAACCAACTTTGTAGACTGGACAGCTTCGGCTCCCATGAATTTACCAAGAGGTACGCCTCCATTATCATCCTGATCTGGCAAATCTCTGGCCGCATGGGCTTTTCTGATCCGATACTTATTTTTCTTCCCGGTCTTTCTAGCTTCCCGTTTCTCAATAGCCTCATCATCGGACCATTGTTTGTTGATCCCTTGAAAATCCCATGTATCGACGTCGTCATCATTGACCCGATTTCTCCTGGTTTTGAACTTGCAAGACCCTTTTCTTGACAAGGACCCCCATGATTACCCTCACAAAACCAGCAAGCCCCCGCCCGAGGAGTTGTAGAAGGCTCGTCCTTAGGGTTTTCTTTTGCTACTCGAGGATAGGGGGACGGAGTCACCTTTGCGTTTTGTTCTACCCATTTGAGGGAGGGAATAGGAACATTGTCCAGAATACGGGCCGAAGTAGAAACGCGAGCAGGAACGGGGGCACGAATAGGGTCAGAGGCACTTTCAGGAACGGTGGCAGGGGCGGAAGACTTCGCCTTTACGTTTCGATTTTTGTACTTGGGGTTTGATTTAGGAGCACCCGTGACAGGCCGTGAAGATGATAAAAGAGATGCAGGTGGAGGTGATACCGGTGCTGACCGAGACTGCGTCGGTGGTGTCGGTCTTATTGTAGACGGCGTCGGTGGTGTCGGTCTTATTGTAGACGGCGTCGGTGGTGTCGGCGTTATTGGGGGTGGTGTTGGTGGTATCGGTATTACTATAGACGGCGTCGGTGGTGCCAGTGGTGCCGGCGCTGGCAGAGACGGTGTCGGTGGTGCCGGCGCTGGCAGAGATGGTGTCGGTGGTGCCGGTGTTGTTGGTGAGGGCGTCGGTGGTTCTGGCGCTGGTACAGATGGCGTAGGGGGTGCTGGTGTTGGTAAAGATGGCGTCGGCGTCAGTGGCGATACTGGTGTTAGCAAGTGGCAGTGGTATTGGGTTGAAACCTTTCTCGCCCGATTTTTCTTCAGCAACAGAGATATTACCCTTGGTAAACTGGCCGGGTTTTTGTAAATTGGCGGCCAGAATAGGATCTTCGCTCCGCGTGCCCTCCTTATTCGTTATACTCTCTGGTAAGAAAACCTTCACGTCATCAAACACTGTATCAGTGCTCGCGGGGTGATTCCTTGTGGGGGCCTTTTTTTCTGCAGGGGCCTTTTTTTCTGACGATTCATTTTTCCCCGGTGACAAAATATCTGCAAATCATATCAATGTTCAATGTTCAGTATATATATATATCGTATGGATCATTACCAATCCAGGGATCCGGATTTGTTTCCTTTTGAGTTTCCCTTTCATTATCCCAAAACAATCTCACTGCATTCCGGTCGACATAGGGCTCGGGCTTGGGCGAATGCCTAATAGAGAGGTCCGCTTGTTGGAACAGCTCGGGTGTGTACCTGCCCGAACTTTCAGAGCCCGAGTCTGAATTTTCAGCTGTATAATGTAATAAGCCCGGTTGATGGTCATTCGGGTCGTCTTTTGGTTGACGTATCTTGGAAATCAGGTTCTGATTTGTGTGTAGCCCTGACCCAAGCCTGCTATTATACTTGCCACCATGAGAATTCTTTACATCTCCGCATTTAATAGCTGGTAGATGCGAGGGTTCTATAAGAGTCCGCTTTTCTGCATGTTGTGGCTGATATCTATTATTTGTCGGGGCATGATTGTTTTCAATTCTGCGGTTTGGGGGAGTGTAATTCACTAGGGCCATCGTACCATTGGCAGTTGGATGAAAGGTTTCTCTATCCTGTAGCTTATTTCTGCTGTCAATTTGATAATTCATCTCACCTCTTTTATTCAGATCAGAGGTCCAGTTGTGGTCTTGGGGGCTTATTCTCGCTGTGTTATCTGGCGGGTGGTTGTCGCCACCGACTAATGAATATCCCAAGGACTCGGATCCAGTCTGAAAGGGTCTTCCTTGCCTGGAGTTGGATACACCACTTCCTGGACTGCGACTATTCATGGTTTTATTTCCGGATATTGAGTATCCTGGTTGATAATCACGGTCAACGGGCGAACCCACAGAGCCATGTGCGCTTGAGTCAGTCCTAAAGGATCCGGGAAATTTAGCTGAGGGAGTCGCAAACTGCTGGCGAGCTGTAGTCCCTCTACCGCTGGTATATCCTCCATTGTTACCGTTGATGTACCCTCCGTTGTTACCGTTGATGTACCCTCCGTTGTTACCGTTGGTGTACCCTCCGTTGCTATCGTTGGTGTACCCTCCGTTGCTACCGTTGGTGTACCCTCCGTTGCTACCGTTGGTGTACCCTCCGTTGTTACCGTTGGTGTACCCTCCATTGTTACCATTGGTGTACCCTCTAGTGTTACCGTTGTTGTATCCCCCACTGTTACCGTTGTTGTATCCTCCAGTGTTTGAGGGTCCATTTTCGAACCGATCAACTGAACCCTTGGAGTAATGATAGCCGCTGTTTTCTTGCCGAAAACCAGTCCTGGGACCCGTGGGTTTCCGAGATTGATCGCCACCAAATGTTTGAGGAATTGCTATCTCCCTTGCCAGAGAACCTTGACTCTGCAAAGTACCGAGGTTACCTGCTGCTGCTTGATTGGGCCATTGACCATTGGGAAAGCTAGGTCCGCCCGGGGTGCGTCCTCTTCCTCCATGCATCCTTTTTGTAATATCACATCGCGCGGAGCTGGGATATTTCCACCTGTATTCCTCATAAGCTGAAGTAGCTCATTCTGGATATTAATGGCTTGTTTTGGTTTATTTCTATTCGGGGGGGTAGAGTCCGTTTGAGAGGCACTAACAGAAAAAACACCGCCATTCGGTCCTGATTTGGTGTTACTTTGACCGATTGGCCTAAAGCTTTGCTGACCACCTCCAGTGTTATTCGCGTGGGGTAGAGGAGCATGGCTCGGGAGAAATTGATCTTGATATATCCCCTCATTCGAATATTCCTGAAAACCATTGTCATTACCATGAAATGAACTATTTTGATTGCTTCTGTGGTGGGTTTGTCTATGGGGGTAAAAATTTGGTGCCCGCATTGGCGGCGGCGGTGGTGGTGGTGGTGGCGGCGGCGGCGGCGGTGGTTGATCATAATTCATCACTCGTTGTTCGTGCATGACGTCATTTTGATATACGGACGGACGGGATACCTCTCTTGCCATCCCTTGATATGATGCGTGCCTGTTAAGGCTGGGATTGTATGGTGAACGACTAGATTCTGGTCTATGGATAATTGAACTGTCCCTAGGCGGTTGGATATGGTTCATAGCCGGCGTAGATCCTCCCGTGGCTCATTATCATAGTTCGCTTGTCCATTGTAGAAATTCCCGCCTGAAGGAGATTTAAAGATAGAAGAACTTGCAGTAGGGCCGTTGTCTGGTCTCCAACTGTGATTGAATCAATAACATATCTAAGGGGGGCATCGTAGTCCATTGACCTCTCGGCTTGTGATAGATCCGCCTGGTTAGTCAATGATACACCGCCATTCATCACAGAATTCTGTGCCTCTATTACATATTGGCCTTGCCAGTACTTCGGTTGTCGACTCCCACCTTTGGAAGTGCGGCCATGGCAGCATCTCGTTGCTGTTTCGAGACATGCTGCCGGCTAATACTATCGTTATCGGCGCCTGAAGCAGCTCTCGGCATCTGGCTTAAAGTAGGTCTTGATTCAGCCACTTGGGCCTCTCTCAAAACGCCGGACGGTAATTGAACGCCGGATGATATGTGGATCAATGGCAATTTTCCTCTCGAGAGCAGTAGTCTAAGATTCGTTTTAGTCATCCTTGTGTATTCAGGTTACATTCCAAGGGCATCATTTGCGCTCAATACTTTTCCTCAAGAAATGATCTCTGCACAACGGCTTAACGTCGCCGGGCTCAATATTGTGCTTCCAGGGGCAACCTTGTGTGGAACATTTTGCTGTAGGTTATTAGTTTATATGTGGCATGGCGCTGAGGCAGTACGATGATGAAGATGGGGCGCGGAGAAGTTGGGCAAGGTATCCTTACCAAAAATCACTGCTTGCGACACAGGATAGAACCATTGCTCCGCTCAAACTTCTCTTGCTCATACTCGAGCTCCCCCATCCCAGACATAGTGACGAGATTTGGGTCCCTTTGTTGTTGTACTTAATTTGACGGATTAGCCAAGTGATCGTAAGAGTGTCGGGTTGTTGGTCAGTGGAACAAAAAGACAAAAAACAGAAGTCGTTTTCGAATGGGAGGAAGCGCTTGACGAAGAGAGCCAAACAGACGTGAAATTGAGTAAGTATAGAAGTGTAAGGAGCGCGCTTGGGATTAAATTGATGTATAGAATGCGAGAGGGT